GGGCTCTCTTCCCCTGGGGGGCTGTCTCTGCAGCGGGCTCTCTTCCCCTGGGGGGACTCACCGATGGCCTCACAGTGCCTGTGAGCGTAAATGAGGGCCATGATGGAGCACAGGGACACATCTGGGTGGTTCTGGATGCTCTCCAGGTCGCTGATGGCATCCTGGATGCGCTCTGCAAAGAAAGCCACACAGTTATGCTCACGGGCTCCAGGCCCAGAGGGCAGGAGGCTCCATGGCACTCACATGGGGACCTTCCCAGGGCCGACTCAGGGCCTGCCACTACCTGTCTTCCCTCAGAGTCACTGGACTGAGCTTCTGGAAGGTCCTCTCGCAGGTGTGGGTGGACGAGTACGCCCAGAGGCCTGAGTTCCCTGAGGACTGAAGCTCCCTGAAAGGGCTCCTGGCACCACGGTCCAGCTTCCTGGCCTGGAAGGCTTGAAGCCAAGAGATGTGAGGTACAACTGCCAGGCTGTGATTCTGGCTGGGGGTCAGTTCTAGAAAAGGCACCTCAGGGCACCCCCAGCTGCTTGAGAGCCACTGAGTACATTTATCCCTCCGTGTCCACAGATACTGGCCATGGGCAGCTCAGCCAGCCCCCAGCCAGGACCACCTTCTGAAGGTCAGTGTGTCAGCCCTACACGGGCCGATTCCTCGCTCTCCTCGAACCTGTACCATACCTGCCTGGCACCCACACCTACACCTCCTCCTTTTCTCTTGTGTTACCGGCTCCCAGTTTCCAAGCCTGGGATGAGTTTAACAGTCAAGCAGCCATCTCTCCACCCACTCATTTTACACACGGGAAAACTAAGGCACAGAGCAGGAGTAAGGGCTCTCTAAGGTCTCAAAACTCAACGAGATATGGATCACACAGGCTTCTGGGGAGCCTACCACCGAGTGTAAGACTGTTTCCATGGGAACATTATTGTGGAGTCAGGAGCTAACACTGCCAGGTTCTTACCTTCCCTGAGGACTCCGTAGGCTTTAAAGAACTGCAGCACGGGCTCATTGGTGAATTTCTCCAGGCCCATGGCTGCGGCACGCTGCACATGGCGGAAGTACTTTTCCTGACTGTAGTAAATGATTCCAGCCTGCATGCAGGAAGACACAATGGCCCCAGTCCCACTCTGTCTCTGTTCCCCTGTGCTCCCTCCCCCTCCACGTTCCTCCTCAGTGCTGCACAAGGAAGGGAAAGAGAGCACCCAGCCTCATCCTGGCCTGCAAAGGCTCTGGGGGTGGCCCCATGCAGCTCCCCCGAACCTGCAGCGGCTCTGGGGGCGGCTCCATGCAGCTTCCGGAGAACCTGCAGCAGCTCTGGGGGACAGCTTTGTGCCATTTCCCTGAGAAGCAGTTGGGAGGTGTTTGTTTTAGAATCATCAGCAAATTCAGGTTTAAATGTGATAGGGAATTCCACTCAGGCTTTGCCCGTGAGGACGGGAATAGGGGAAAAGGGGGAGAACCGACAATGAGAAAATTCACACCAACAGTTATGGTTCCGAGGGACTGTGCGCTTCCCACCTGCTGGAAACCACACTAAGGGCTTCCACAGATGAGGAAGCTGAGGCCTCTGGAGACTAGGGCTCGACAGAGGTCATGCACTGGTGGGGCTGAGATTTCAGAGCTAAGTCTCACTTCCTCCAAGGTTTGTGGGTGCTGAGGTTGGGGATAGATGTGGTCAGATTGTGAACAGCCTTGTGGACCATATGGAAGAGTTCAGATACCATCCTGAAGGTGACAGAAGGAGTTGGAATGGCTGTAAGCAGGGGAGATACGCGATCAGATGTGTTTTTCAAAAACCACTCTGGCTGCTGTGTATGTGTGTGCTGACTGCTGGTGGGCAGAGCTGAAGCAGAGAAACCTGTTGGGAGGAGGTTGTTGCAGGTGCCTAGAGTAAAGATGGTAGTGATCCTGGGTTAGCCGGTAAAAAGAAGCAGGTGAACTCAGGAGACATTTAGGAGCTGATATTTCTTGCTGACGGATAGGACTGGAAGGCGGATAAAAGAAGAGGTATCAAATGGTGGAACCGTCTACTGAGGCAGGGACGCAGAAGAGGCGGATGCCGGGGACAGGTGACGAGATAATGGAGATGGATTTTGGACGCGTTGGTTGGGGGGAGCTCAGGCAATAGGGCTGGGTGAGGGATTTGGGGCTCAGGGTGCACAGAGGGCACCTGAGAGGATGCACTCGCCAAGAAGAGAGGCGAGAAGGGGCCAGGGCTGCCTGTAGCGGCGGGGGACAGAGAAGGGCGGGCAAAGGGGACAGCAGGAGCGGTCACAGAGGTGGCAGGGGAGGTTCAGGGCGCGGGGACACGGGGGCGGAGTGTCTGGAGGGAGCGGCCGGGCAGCGCCGGGCCCACGCACCATAAGGAACGAGTCATTGCTACTCATCTCCGGCCGAAGGCGGCTCCGAGTCCGGGTCTGGCGCGGCCGCACGAAGCCGGATACCCGAGTCAGGGTCCTGGGCACGCCTCTCGCAGCCGGAAGTTGGAGGCGTGCGCGTCCTTGGAAACGGAGCTCCGGCCGGTTGCTAAGAGGTGGCGTCAGCGGCGAGAGCAGCTCGCTCCCTACGTAACCGGACGCTAGTAATCAAACTCGGGAGAGCGCGTCTAGGCACGTGACCAGGCGCTGGCAATCAAACCCAGAGAGAGCGCGTCTGCCCACGTGACCAGGCACTGGTAATCGAACCCAGAGAGAGCGAGCGCGTCTGCGCCGGCACCGGCTCGGTCTGCAGGGTCCGAGCCTTCGGGACGTGGACGGCGGAGCCGAGCCGCGGCCATGGGCCTGGGCTCCAGCGTGGAGCGGCTGGCGGGCGGCGCCGAGGGCTTCCACCTGCATGGGGTGAGCGGCCCCGCGGCGCCGGTGGCCTGGGCCGGGCGTCTCAGGGGGCAGCTGGCAGCGGCCGGCTGGCGGAGGAGCCGCCTGGGCGAGGCCGGTCCGCGGCCGCCCGAGAGCCAGCTGTGCAGGAAGCACGACCGTTTCCTGGTCGGGCCCTCGGGCGGCGCATCGCCCGGCGGAGAGCGCACCCGCTGCGGTCGGGACGCGCTTGGGCTGCGCTGTGGTCGCCTGCGTGCGCCGCGCTGGGCTGGGGTCGGCTGTCCGGATCCTACAGCCCAGGAGGTCGGGGTGACCAAGTGAGCCCCAGCTGCCCGTCGTGGAGAAGCTTGATGGGAGGGACAGAGAGGGATTTCAGGTTCAGCAAAACAAGTGTTTTTCAGCGCGTACCGCGTGGCAGCAGATTTGTAGGCACCCTGTTCTCATGGAGGCTGCGTTTGGACGTAGACAGGGAGAGAAGAAACAAATATTTGGTGGTGGTTGTTATTGTGTGCCGTCAGGCCGATTCTGACTCTTAGCGACCCTCTAGGACGGGGTAGAACTGCCCCATAGGGTTTCCAAGGAGCAGCTGGTAGATTCGAACTGCCGACACTTTGGTTAGCAGCCTAGCTCTTAACCACTGCGCCACCGAAACCCCAAATCCACTGCTGTCAAGTTGATTCTGACTCATCGTGACCCCATAGGGTTTCCGAGGCTGTAAATCTCTATGGAAGCAGAGCAGCACATCTTTCCCCCATGGAGCTGGTCGTGGTTTCCAGCCGCTGACCTTTCGGTTAGCAGTCCATCGCGTTAACGACTGCACCACCAGGGCTCCCAACAGACGTAGATGGTGGTAATTGCTAGGAAGGAAAGTAAAGCAGGAGATAAACGGTGATGAGCGGGTGTTGGTTTGGATAGATGGTCAGGAAAGGCCTGTGGTCAGGTAGCATTTGAACAGAGAGCTCGGAAAGAAGGAAGGAGTGGACAGTACAGATATTTGGGGGAAGAATGTTCCCGGCAGTGGGACCAGCCAGGGCAGAGGCTCTGCCTTGGGGGAGTGCTTGGTGTGTTTGAAGAAAAGCACGGAGGTGTGGCGGTGTGAGGAGGAGAGCTGTGAAGGATGAGGCCAGATTGTGTAGGACTTTGCATGTTGTCCTGAGAATTTAGGATTTTATTCTGAGAGGTTGGAGGTTTTACACAGAGGAGTGACATGACCTACTGATGTTTTTAAAAAATTGAACAGATGTGCTTCCTTCTGTAAATATTGCCGTTCCCACTGTGTGCCAGGCACGTTGGAGAATTCCCTGCCCTGAGAGTTTAGGATAGTGGAGGATTCAGAAGGAAGCAGCTGTTGTAGGGCAGTGGTTAGGAGCTGGGCTCCGAGCTGAATTTCGTGGGGTCAGATTACTGAAATACTAAAATGAGATTACTGTTCCTCATCTTTAATTGGAGTTATTAAAAGAGTTAGGTGATAGGGAAAGCAGGTGGCACTGTCCCCTGGCACCAGCCAGCCCTCTCCAGCTGTTAGCTGCTATCCTTGTTGTTAATTACGGATGTGCCCTGTTGGGGGAAACAGGCGGGAGTGTCATGATAGCAACACGCGATCCGGGGCTGCAGGGACGGGTGTGATGGGAGCCCCCGAGAGAGAGATACAGAAATGCACAGAGAGATGGAGACACACAGCGTCCCAGGGCTGCAGGGATGGGTGTGATGGGAGCCCCAGAGAGAGAGATACAGAGAGATAGACACAGAGAGAGAGAGAGAGACACAGAGAGATACAGAGACACACAGAGACAGAAACAGAGAGAAACAGAGAGACAGAAACAGACATAGAGGGAAGGACGGAGGGGTGCTGGTAGTTGTGGGCATGAGGATAGGATGCACGGGGCATGTCCACTGTCAACTGTGGAGCCTTGTGGGTGACTACCAGGCTGAGGGTGGGAAGTGGAGTATGGCTGGGCAGAGGACAAGCCGCAGGAGGTGAGCGGTAGAGGTGCTGGGTGGGCTCAGGGAGGGTCAGGCTTGGGGAGGGGCGCTCTGAGCCTCTGGACTGCATTATTGACAGGGGGCAGCTGACACAGTGCCAGGGAAGGTGGAGGGCAGGCATCCAGGCACACCGGTCACAGGAGCGGTGGCCTCACCAGAGGGAGGTGGGTGGCATGGAAGTGGCCCCCAGCGGGGAGAAGTACCCTCCCCAGCAAACACGCACAAGCTAGCCCTGATTAACTGTCCTGTGGTTTACACAAGGCTCCACCCCAGCTTCACCCTGGGGGTTAGAGAGCAGGACTGGGGGCTCCCCTGGGGGACCTCACAGCAGCTTGCCTTGGGGAGCTGGAGCTTCTTGCTGGGCTCATTGGCAGCTTCTAAAGGTGCACGTGGGGGTAGGAGTGGGGGCGGGGGGCTCAACTGGTGATGCTCCAGAAGGGGATCCTCATTCCAGGCTGAGTGGCCTTGACCCAGAGCTCTGCGCTTCTCCTTCAGGCTCAGCAGGTCTGTTCTCAGAAGCCCCCTGTGGGTTTGGGGACCCCGAGACTGGAAGGGCTGGCAGGTGACAGAAGCCCCAGGGCCTTTCCCACGAGGAAGCATCGAAAAGCTGAGGCCAGAGGAGAGCAGAGCTTGTGCCCGGTGGTCACCCGAGCCCCGTGCCCCTGGGCTGGGTCCTGGCCAATGCCTGACCTACAAGTGCCCACAGCCAAAGGCCTGAGGCATGGGGCCCGCCTTCAGGGTCCAAGACCTTGGGATAAAGGCTTCATTGTTCCAGGAGAGGTCTGTAAACAGGCCTTGGAGATGGATTTCTGCAACAGCTCGCAAGGCCGGGTGGTGGAAATTTTGGAGACTGCAGCGAGCTCAGGAGTTCAGGGAAGGGCAGGGAATGCCGCCTGGCAGAGATGTCTGGGGTGGGGTGGAGGCCAGACTGTGAGATTTGGAGTCCTGGCCCAAGCTCCTCCCTGCTCTCGAGGTCAGCTCTCCTTGGCCAGCATGCCAGGGGTTCCCATCACCTCCTGAACTGAGCCTGGGCCTGTCACCCCAAGGTCTAGGGCCCTCCAGGACCTGGCCACGGGCTGCTTCCCTAATGCTGCTTCCATCCTGGGCCTGCTGTCTCCCATCGCCTGTTGAAGCCCTCTCTCCCTTCCACATCTAAACCTGTCTGGCTTTCTGTCCCCTCCACCCAGCCCTCTGGGGCAGCCTCCCTCCGGGCCTGCTACCTCCTGGGAGCTCCGGGCTTGCCCCGGTTTCCTGTGGGGTGTCTCTGGAAGCGTCTGTGGATCGTGAGCTGGGAAGAGCCGTCTCCTAAGAGGAGAGCTTTGCCCAGGACGGCGGTGAGGGGTTGGGGTGAGCTGGGAAGAGCCGTCTCCTAAGAGGAGAGCTTTGCCCAGGACGGCGGTGAGGGGTTGGGGTGAGCTGGGAAGAGCCGTCTCCTAAGAGGAGAGCTTTGCCCAGGACGGCGGTGAGGGGTTGGGGTGAGCTGGGAAGAGCCGTCTCCTAAGAGGAGAGCTTTGCCCAGGACGGCGGTGAGGGGTTGGGGCGAGCTGTGACTGCCCGTCACTGGGCGTCATCTGGTATGGTCGTCCCAGGAGGGGTTCATCCCAGGCACGTGTCCTCACTGAGATGGGGAGCAGGTGGTGTCTGAAATTGGGGGCCGGGGCAGGGGGCTCCTTGGAGAGTCCCAGGGTTGGCATGGTGACTGGCCTCTGCCTGCAACAGGTACAGGAGAACTCCCCCGCCCAGCAGGCAGGCCTGGAGCCCTACTTTGACTTCATCATCACCATTGGGCACTCAAGGCTGGTGAGCCCCCACCCCTACTTTGCTGCGTGGGTCCGTCTGTACCACACAGGTCCGGGCCTGCTCCTGCCTCCCTCTTCTTCTGGAGGCAGTCCCGCCTCTCTCCTCTTTCCAGGTTGTACCAAGAGCCTGTGGGGGCCTGGCCCTGTGCTCAGCCCCTGGCCTGGGGGCAAGGGCAGTACTGAGGGCAAATGGAGTGTGAGGGGTGCAGGGCTCTGGCCAGGGGCAGCTCTGTGGGGCGGTACTGGGGTCCTCTGGACCCAGGAGACTTTGCTGGCTTTGTTGTTTTCTGGGGGTGCTGAGGGAGGAGGGTTTGGCAGTGCTTGGTGGTGGTGGGTGCTGGGGTGGTGGTGGCTGCAGGCCCAGGCCCCACCTGTGGACCTGGGCCCGCTCAGCACCAGACCTGTCCGAGGGGCCCGGTGGGTGCGGGGGCGTCGAGTCAGCCCCCCATCCTCACAGAACAAGGAGAACGACACGCTGAAGGCACTGCTGAAGGCTAACGTGGAGAAGCCCGTGAAGCTCGAGGTGTTCAACATGAAGACCATGAAGGTGCGCGAGGTCGTGGTGGTGCCCAGCAACATGTGGGGCGGCCAGGGCCTGCTGGGCGCCAGCGTGCGCTTCTGCAGCTTCCACAGGGCCAGCGAGCAGGTGTGGCATGTGCTGGTGAGTGGGGCGGCCTGGTACCGGCTGGGCGGGCGGGCGTGCATGTGTGTGGGAGACAGGGCTCGGGGCCCCCCGGCTGTGGCCGGGACTGTATTGGTGGGTGTGGGCGGGGACGAGACCTGGGAGCCAACAGCCAGCTGATCCCTTTAGTGAGGACCCCGTTAGGGCAGGCCGGCCTCTCATCTGGCATCCAGAAAGGCATCTCATCACTGCCTGAACTGTGCGCCCTGCCTCTCGTGAGCCCTGTGACTAGGCACGTTCCTTACCTGCTTTATACCTTGGGTTTTTAGTTTGCAAGGTGGGGATACCGTCTCCTGAAACGGTGGTTGTGCTGTGCCCGACACACAGGCTCCCCAGAATGCTGCTGCTCATATCAGTCTGTCTTTCTAGATGATGTATACACGTGTGTACGTATGTAATATATACGTGTGTATGTATGTAATATGTACATGTGTATATATATATGTAATATACACATATGTGTGAATCTATAGAGACAATCCTGGTGGTGTAATGATTAAGTGCTCAGCTGCTAACCAAAGGTTGGCAGTTTGAACCCACCAGCTGCTCCGAGGAAGAAAAGACCAGGTGATCAGCTCCTGTACAGATTTCAGCCTAGAAAACCCTGTGGTGTAGTTTCACTCTTATAAGATCGCCATGAGTTGGAGCCGACTTGACGGCACTCACCAACGTTATATGTATACATCTATGTAGTGTTT